CTTGTAGTAATATAAAATATAGTAAAAAAATTAAATATCTAGATTTAGGTTTATTAGCTTTTTTTAATTTATTAGTAATTCTTAGTTTATTAAAGTCCTTGGGTTTATGGTTTATATTTAATATTAAAAAAAAAAATAATAGGTATTTAAATTTATTAACTTTAAATTTATTAATTATTTATTATACTTAAATAAACTAACTAGTTTAAACTAGTTAAACTAATATAATATATTTTAATAGGGCTTATTAGTCCCTTATATAGCAAGGCCACCCTAAACCTTGCTAGTTAAAAAAATAAGTTATTTTTAAGTATTAATATATTAGCTTATCCCCAGGTATTAGTATATTAATATTATTAGCTATTATTAATATTATGCCTTTATACCTATAAAATATTATTAGTTATTATTTTTTTAGCTAACCCAGGGTATGGCTACCTAAAGATTATTACTTATTATTACTTTATATTATTATAATATACTACCTATACCTTTATTATTATATAAGGGGGGTATATAAGGGCATAACTTAAAGTATTAATAAAATTTTTTATTATTTATTATTTTTTTATATAAAATAAATAATATATTACTTTTTAAACTTTAGGTTAAAATAAAATTACTTGTTTAGCCTTATAACACCTTTTAAATTAAATTCTTGTAGTTAATAACTACCTAAAATAAGTATTTAAGCATAATATATATTTTTTATAAGCTAAAAATCTTTACTATAATAACTTTAGTTAATTAGTATATAGCTAATAATAAAGTATTATTATTTTAATAACTTTTTTTAGCTTAGCCCTAAGCTAACCCCTAATACCTAAAGGCATGCCTAAAGGCATGCCTAAAGGCATGCCTAAAGGCATGCCTAAAGGCGTAACACCTAGAAATATAATACTTAAAAAAAAAAAGCTTTAATATAATAAGTTTAAAAGGTTTAAGGCTTTAAAGCCCTATTCTAGTAACTTAAAGGCCACTAAATATAAGGTATATTTTTAGTTAGGTATAATACTAGCGGCTATTAAATTAATATATTTATTAAAAATAAACCCCTGGCCAGGAAAATTTAACTTACTATTTTTTTTTATAACACGCTAAAATAATGCATATTTATTATTTTAGTAAACATGGCTTTTAAACCTTAATACCTTAGTATTTTTATATATATTATAGGACAGGGGTAGTAAGTATTTTTTAACTTAATTTTAATATTTTAACTTATTTTAATATTATAGCTAAAAGTATTAAAGCTAAATTTAATTATAAAAAGTGCTAAAGCTAAATTATATAAGTAGTTTTAAAATAAGCTAGCTATTTTAATAACGCTATTAGCTTTTAATATATTATAAATTTTAGTTAATATATTTTTTAGGGTAAATAACCTTATAAACCCTAGGTACCTATATTTTAAAATATTAGTATAAAAGTGCGGTGCTAAAGCACAGTAAATTTAATAAACTTACTAGTATAATATATACAAAAGCCATGCCCTAGAGGATAGCTACTTTTAAAAATATTATATTATTTTCTTACCTTAAAAAAAACTTTATATTTTAGGTTTACCCTATAATAATAAGCTATTTACCTTATTAAAAGCTTAATAATTAAAGCTTATTAGCTTGTATAATAACTAGTTAAATATAAAAAAAGGTAAGACACTTTTCTAAACAAGCTAGTACTTAATATTTTAGGTAATTAGGGTTTATAAAACAGTTTTTACTAGTTATTAAATTTATTTACTATTATATTTAGCAAGGGCCCTACTTTATTAATATTATTTATAAATAATTATTCCCTAGATGCCTCTGCCACTAAAATACTTAAGGCTAAATATTTAAGTTAGGACTTTAAAAACCACCCCTAATATTAATAAATATACTATTAATATTATAAGTAATTAAAAACCTTTTTAAGCCCCTAGGTATACCAAGAACTTAGTAAGACTTTTTATTTAATATAGGTATATTTATTTATTACTTTATTAGTATATAAATAGCCTTTAAAACTTTTTTAATCCCTAGTATACCTTTAATCCCTAGTAACTTTTTAATCCCTAGTAACCCTTTAATCCCTTGGAAATTAATTAGTTATAAAACTATATAAAATAAAAAGGGATATAGCCTATAGGTTAAAAGCCGGAGGGCTATAAATAAGTAAATTAAGTAAGTAAACTAAGTAAGTAACTAAGTATAAGCTATTAATATTTTATAAACTTTAATATTAAAAAACTTACACAGGCTTATTTTAGTTTACTTTATTATATAATTTTTAATTTATAAAGTATTTTTACTAGGTGCTTATATAGCTATTTTTTAGGGTTTTACTAGGCCAGTTTTAATATATACTTTTTATTAAAAGGTAGCTATTTATAACCTTTAGTTAGGGCCTTGCTTTTTTTTATAATAAGTATTACTTTAACTATTATTATTAAAAAACAAAGCTAGCCCCTAAATTTATATTATTATTAAATAAATACTTTTAGCCCAGGGGCCGGCCCCCTAAAATTTAATAAATTTATACTTTTTATAAATATACCTGGCCTATTACTTTTTTTATATACTAAAGTAATAAAAATTATAACTTTATATAGTTATTACTTTTTTAATAATATATTTAAAAAATATAATATAAATAAATACTACTTATAATACCCCGGGCTATAAATAATTTTTTTAATATTATATTTTATACCTATTTTAGTTAGCCTACTTAAGTAATTTTAACTTAAAAGCTAGTAATTATAGCTTAACTAAATTTTATAGCTATTTCCCCACGCTATAGTATATTAAAATATTTAAATTATGCCTAGTATAATATTATACTTCCCCCTGGAGTTTAATATTCCTTATAAAAATAATTATATTTTTAAATTATTTAATAATAATCTTATTTAATAGGGAACCCCTTTAAGCCCCTGGTATATTAAAAAGTTAGTAAAACTTTTTATTTAGTATAGGTATGTTTTTTATTATTATTAAAAATTTAAGAAAAAATTTTATTATACTTATAATAAATAAACTTATAATTAATAATTTATAAACCACCTTTAAAGCCCTTAAGCCCCTAAAATTTTTAAACCCTTAAAACCTTTAAACCCTTAAAACCCTTAAACCCCTAAAACCCTTTAAACCCTTAAAAGCCCACATGTAAATTTTAGCAGGGGCTTAAAAAATATTTTTCCTAAATATTTATTAAAAAACTACGCTAGTTTTAAAATTTAATTACTAGTATTATTAATAAGCCTTTTAGCTCTTGCTAAAAAAGGCTATTATTTTTTAAAGCTTTTTTACTTAATATATTACTAAGAATTATAGCACTAAAACTAACCAGGGGGTCCCTTTAATTAAAAAATAATATTATACCTTAATTACTTTACACGCTATTAGCCACGCGGGATAAAAATATTTTAGTATATAGTTAAGTTTAATATCCCTTTATATAAAAATAAATTATTATATAAATTAATTCCCTTTAGTACTATAAAAAACAAGCTATAGTATTAATAGGAACTAGCTTGCCTTTTAATAGTTTATTAATATTAAATTACTAAGGGAAATAATTTACTAGCTCTAACCGCGGCGCTGCGCGCCGCGGCCTTCGCTAGTAGCTTATTCTTATCTTAGATAGCTATCCTTATCTTCCACTAGCTTTATATAGATATTCTTATCCTTCCATTCTTATATAGACTATTCTTACTTAGACTATTCTTACTTAGACTATTCTTACTTAGACTATTCTTACTTAGACTATTCTTATATAGACTATCCTTACCCACTTGCCATCTACTGCCATCTACTGCCATCTACTATCTGCAGATCAGTTGGGCTAGGGGCTGCCTCCATACAGTCCAGCTGATCTGCCATAGGTTTGCTATCTACTTTGCCATCTATCTGCCATCTACTCCAGACAGACCAGCTGGTCGAGGGTTGCCCCTGTACAGGCCAGCTGGTCCGCCGTCTGCCATGTGATTGATTCATGGCAGCAATATCTTCAACATGCAATGGTACCCCGCATTCATCAAGTACTCTAACTTTTGTTGTGTCCATAACATGGTCAGGGAAGGAGCATCCCTCCCTGATCCGGCCATGGACGGCTGTCAAATCGTTCGGCTTCGTGGGCTCCGGGGTAGGGCACGAGTCTTCCCGCTCGTTGCCCGCGTCCACTCTCCATCCGCTCTTTTGCTTCGATCTTTCCCCTCCGTAATCATTTGCTCGTCTCTTCCTCATGTCTTGCAATATATTTAGCTCCCTCCGCTCCTTACTGACCCCCTTCCTGAGATCTCTATTTGTCCATTCCCTTCCTGTCATCGCGCGATTTGCAGAAGCGCTGTTATTTATTCCTGTCTTCCTTGACGTTTGTCCTATTATTGGTCTTCAGATCTTTATTAAACAAGACGCCTCGTTACTTACTAGCTTGACCGGATAATGAAGAGAGTAGCGCGATACCGGCTCCAGCGTTCCACGGGTTGGCATTGTTTTTCGACAACGGGCCCGACATGACCGAGTATCGATCGTGAGCGCTTATGTGTTCGAGTACGCCAGAGGACAGAGAAACGACGTATACTACTGAACCGAGAGGAGACGAAAGATGACAGTGAATCAACTTATCTCCTTCTCATTTAACACCCTCGGGTCCCTGACACATAGGTACGGAACTTGCCTGCTACGAAGTTTGAGTTCATTCAGCTCTACGGCGTACTTTTGGAGAGATTTAGATCATGATTGACGACTTTAAACATCATCAGGTACTCAATAAATAACTATGGATGCATCAGCTGGATTGCAATGCCCTTTCGAGACCCACAGTACAAGTAAATCGCTCACCTTCAATTGGCTGGGAATTCGCCTTTGGCAGCATCAGTGACGGAGCTCTCCGGCCCCCGCTGATAAAGCTCCCAAGGTCCCATCCCTCTCTGTCCTACCCCGCAGTCAACATTCTCTCCTTCTTCCACCTCTCCGGCGCTTCCTCACATTTCAATTGCATCGACTCTCCACAAAATGGCACCCCTCAAAGCAGGCGATTCCTTTCCCAGCGACGTCGCGTTCCAGTACATCCCCTGGTCCGAAGACAAGGGCGAGGCCACTGCGTGCGGCATCCCGATCAAATACGACGCCTCCAAGGAGTGGGCGGACAAGAAGGTCGTTTTGTTTTCGGTCCCTGGTGCGTGCTCGCATACTCAAACACTATTATCATTCTAGAGTTAGAATCAAGCTGATTCTCGTTTCGCTCCCAGGCGCATTCACCCCCACCTGCTCTGTCAACCACCTCCCCGGCTACATCCAGAACCTCCCCGAGCTGAAGAAGAAGGGCGTGCAGATTGTTGCGGTCGTTGCGTCCAATGACCCCTTCGTGATGAGTGCTTGGGGGAAGGTAAACAAAGTTACTGGTGATGATATTGTACGGTTCTTTGCCTTCCGGCCCACCACTCCGTGCAATTCGTGCTAACAGGGCGTCTCTGTAGTTGTTCCTCTCGGACCCCGACGCGAAATTCTCCGAGTCGATTGGTTGGGCGAATGGTGGAAGGACTGGGCGGTATGCGGTTATCATCGATCATGGCAAGATTACGTATGCGGATATCGAGACGAAGAAGGGTGCTGTTGAGGTACGTATTCATTGTTCCTGGTTCTCGAGTTCTCAGAGACTGGATGGGATATGATGCTAATTGGTTGCGGTAGGTTTCTGGTGCGGAGCAGGTGCTAGCTCACCTTTGATCGAGCATAATCACGATTTATTTAGCATGGAAAAGCTAGACTCAGATGGAGCTCGAATACAATGCTGAACGTTCCACAAAATCGCTTCATACACTTTACGCACTCAACGGAAATTTGCACTACGGTCAATCTGCCAGGCTGTTTAGAAGTGGGCTGGAGGGTGTGCATCATACGAACAAGCACTCATCATTAACTATCAACATATCCCTTCTTGTTTCTACAGTATCACCATCAGCTACCCTCGCGTAGGTATAGACTTGTTCAGCAAAGTCGGCGTGTAAAGGAAGAGACGCATCTCCCTTTGCCGACGCAATGACTTCAGGCCAGCCAGTAGGGGATACCTTCTCTTCTACCAAAAATAGGTCTTCTTTCGGTGGATTAAAACAAAATGTAAGGGTAAATGGCCATCCCAGTATTGATGGCCATCCTGACCGGGCCCGGGGGGTTGTCTGTCGCTCCGTTTTGGGTTTAGTGTACAATGGTAGGTAGGACAACTCAACTTTCTCACCTTTTCAGACAAACGTCTCAACGCGCCACTATTGCGGCCACCGATTCAGAGCTGAAGCCTATATTCGGGCCGAGGTCACTACGCAGATGCCTTGTGGCAGCTGATTTCGCAAGGGGCCCAGAAGGGGCCTAGGTACGGACTATGTAAGTTCGGCCCTTGAGTGTTGGATGGCCTTATCTCTTGGGTATATCTTGCTCTGGTTCTGTTCTTCCAGCGCAATGCTGACATTCGACTTGAGCTAATGCAGGCTCAGATACTTCAAGGCTTCGCCGACCGCGGTCACAATTCACGTCTATTGAGTGTTAGCAGCATTTCTCCGTCAAGCCTGGGAACAGAAGACAACCGAACCTATCACCAGAACCTGCGGACCTACGTTTGGAGCGGAGAACAACTGCTGTCATATCACGATTCATCATTGAAAGTATCATACAAGCGCCATGCATCCCATCCAAGTCATCGAATCAGACTAGCATAAGAACCACCAATCCAGCCAAGACCGCGAAGCCGCTGTTCATGCTTCCCTTCAATCCAAGCGCACCACCCTCACCATCACCTCCACCGCCAACCTGGTTCGCATACGGGTCTTCATACTGATCAACATCACTTGCGCTAATATTCACAACCCAGTACTCTCCATCGAGACGCGCATAACCCCCCTGCTCATGCCAGACCGGGGCACAAGCCTCGACGGCAGTGTCATTGTCCACACCCTCGGTACAGTTTGCCACCGTTCCGGTATAGCAGAACTTGTACGCCGTGAAATTGAGGTATGCCGACTGGCCCGGTCTCAAGATCTGAGTTGTATCAATAGACCCGATCACGCTGTCGTTGAAGCCGGGTGCGATCAGACTATCTTCGCTCACAGTATCCGCTACGACGGAGGTGAATGTGATCGTGGCCAGGCCACTTATGTTGTTTGAGGCGGAATACTGGCCGTCACCTTCCGCAGTCAACGCGCAGGTAAGGTTCTCTGATGTACCAGCGCATGATGAAGCGCCTGAGACGCGCTGAGGCGGGTAGGTTGCTAGGTAAGGGTCGTTTTGGTCCCAGTTGAAGACGGAGCAATTGGCCGATGTCTGGGTCTGGGCGTTGATAGTGACGGGGAGGGTGAGGGTGAGGAGGGAGAAAAGGGCGGTAGAAGGTAGAAGGTACATGGCGTATGCTATGTTCGAAGTAAATGGGTGCAGAAAGGTATGTTAACCCTGGATGATCTGATCTTTCGTTAAAGTCCGGGGTAGCCCAGGCTTTTATAACCCGACCGCTGGCTTTGATGCCTCATCCCGCAGATCAATGGGACTGGGGCAGTGTCCCTTGCCCTGCCCTGTTTATGTACATGGTCTTTGGGGCCAAAACATCGTGTGAGGCCGTCCATTCGCTGCGGGAGCCCTGCCAAGCGCCCCTGCTGCGCGGCGCTGTCATTCGACGTCATGGGGCCATAAAAGCTGGGCGTTCGCGAGTCAGTGATGTCAAACCAACAAAGAAGGATTCATGGCTACCTAATCTATTAGGCAAGGGTCATTCTTGCCAGGTCCGGGTGCCCTACCGATGGGGTTATTTCTTAGGAGCTCGGGAGGCTTGCCTGCCGTCTAACCGAGATGGAACCCCAGATTTTGTTCATATCACCACTCACCATGTCGCTGATCTCGTCAAATTGCGAATTGCATATTTGCGACGGACGATGTTCCCGGGATCAGCTCATCATACTCGGCTCTACCTCGAACCGCCAGGCTGCATTCACCAACAGAAAGGGGCAGCCGTGATTGCTTTAGCTGTTGAACCTATTCTTTGTTGAGGCGGCGCTGGGTAGAGTTGCCAGGCTATCTGTGTCACGGCTTCTTGGTTTATGGTCTAGCGCCAACGGGTTCATATAGAGTTATAGACTCGATCGGTTGGTTGGTGATGAGTCCGGTAAGTGCATGCGTTTCTTCCTTTGCTCAGGAGAAGGCTAATCAGCAAGGCAACCGAGTTAAGGTTCTGAGACTACTTACCGATCACTTGTCATTTTATATCCTTGGTGCGGCGCAGAGCCCTGTGTGTTTCGACAGTGGCCAGTGTTCCCGGAGAGCGGCTAGGCCAACATTTGAGGAGACGAAGCAGCTTTTTACTCCATCCCTGGGAATTGGCAGCGACTCGCAAGAAGAGTTGACCTCAATCCTCGATTTATTGCCAGCAGGCGAAACTAACGCGATGGGGCCAAAAATATTTCTAACGTAAATTATTATTCCATCCAGGCTAGACATAGATACCGAGAAGAACGACGATGACATACAACATCAAACATAGCATACACGGCGTTGGAAAGGACCAGCAAACCTGTTCCCTTGCTCACTTAATATCGCGGCGATGCATCCTTCGGAATCTGCAGGAGGTCACTGACATGACGGCCCTCAAGCCACGCATCCATGGCCTCGTATAGCTTGAAGAAGGCAGCGTTGTTCATTGTGGGAAGGTCATCCAGGATAGGGTGTCCCAAGCGCTTCTGGGCCGCCGCAAGGTATTGGTACCCGGCTGGATACTGGCTTAACTCATCGCGTCCAAAGCTCGGCACATTCTGACCGTCGACGGGTACCATTTGATCCTTCTCATAGAAGAGCTTGATATAAACGACCTTCCACTGGCCGTCTGTTTTCAGACAGAAGTTGATAAAGCGACAGTCGCACTCGACGTCAAAGTCAACCCCGTCAAAGTGAAATCGTTGCGTGATGGTCGCCTTCATCTTGCCCACGGCACGGTCATTCTTCGGATTGAGGTCGACTAGCACACCGTTAACACGGTGCATGATAAAATCGCCGTTCGCGCGGCCCTCGATTGAGGTCGAAATGAAATCGTCGATTGACAGGCCGCCGCTCCATGCTATCACGAGAAAGTCAATTTTGGGTATGGATATGCCGCCCAGTGTCGAAAATGAGACTTACTCGTGAAAACGAACGCGCCATCTTTGACGAATGCATCGCGGTAGTTCCGCCATTCTGAGGCATCGCGGTATACCGGCCAGCTCTGGCAGAGCTCGGAAACGCAGTATCGGTCGAGGATCTCCGACGGGCTGCCGTTGAGATGGCACCAAGTTTTTGGCTGCGTCTCTTTCTCGGTGATGTTGTATGTCATTATGGATGTATAGCAGTATCCAAGTGGGAGGTCGTAATGGGGGTTGTTGGTAGATCGGTGAGTAGAGGAAATGGATTCGGTAAGTGATCAATGTCGGAGCCAGAAGGCCACGGCCCTCATCCTTTAACTACATCACCTTAACAGCTCCACACAGGACGTATTTGTTTAATGACTGTCAACTCCTCTAGCTCACTACGTCAAAGTCGGGACAACGTCATGCACGGCAGTCCGGAACCTTGGAACCACTTTCGGCACCTGCTACCGGGATCTTGATTGAAAGACGAGCTCGAGACGAGTATGATTTGCTCCTAAAGCTAGATTTGCCCGGATCTACTCTGGATCTTCGGCGGAAATACTAATGGCACGGTACCTGCGGTAGATCTGCAGACATGGACGTATCGTACCCGTGGACCAAGGCGGGTAAGATTTCACCCCGGATGACCTCATTGCTTAGGAGGCTCACGACGTGATGAAAAGGACGTTCTACTCTCATCCGACAAGGGAGTTCCTTCCGCCGATTGAGATCACCTTGTCCTGTTCCTAGGTGTCAACAAAGCTCTGAGGGCTGACAATCCGCCTTCCACGCCTGGGACAGCACACTCACGAACGAGCGCCGCGTCTTGGCCAAAAAAAACGCGATGCAAACGTCAATACTGAGCCAAGGTGGTTGAGAAAAACGTATTGGGGCCGACTATTTGGTCTGTGTGCAAGCGATCATTCACGGATCTTCCAGTCTGAAACCTGGCGTCTACCAAAACGTCTCTGTCGCCCGTATATCAGTTCCGACTTCCTCACGCCAGGATGGATTTTTTCTGCGAGAGTCGTCCACAATCTGAGGAGCGCTTTGATGCGGCAACGCGGGTCCTCTTGGTGCGCCTGGGGTGATGGTCGCTGGTCGGAGGAGAGTCTACAAAGGCGATCTTGACCAAAAATATTGAGACATGCCCGAAATATGGTGAGGAGATCGCGGTGCCGAGGTTGGAAGGAGAGGTCAAAGACAAAGTCCCACCTAAGCGCTGGACGTGCTGAGCACTGAAGGGGCCGTGGTACAGACTGTGCAGGCAGGTCTCCGTGCCCTCCTCTTATCAGTTTATCACGTTGCAGGCTGCTTGAACAACGATTCGCGGTTGGACCCTGGCCCGCTCAATATAAAACGGGTCGAATTCATCAAAATGCGACGAGCAGAGGCCACGATAAGGCTGAAGAACCGCTGCCAAGCACATGTTCGCTGCGTGGTTCCTGTACCAAGACGCGCCGATGTAACTTCTCTTCTGCAACCCCCGACGATCCGTCCCCGTCAACGAATCAGCGCTGTCTCTGATCCGCGTGCAACCAAACCACCATGATAGTGTATCACGATAGCCCCTCACGCGCCCTGGTTTATGCACAGCGAGCGGCGTCCTCCGATGTCGCTATCGCTGTCCGTCCTCTTCGGGTTATTACTTGCAGCATATAAGGCTCCCGTCTTGCCTGCAGTTTGACTCCCCAGTACAGCTCCAAGCCTCAAGCCCAGCGCCATGCCTCGCATTCTCCCCGCCCTCCTTGCCGCCGCCGCCCTGCAGGTTGCACAAGTGGGTGCCACACCCCCTGGCATCCCGTCGACCTCGGTTGCAGAGACTCAACTTGCGGCCTTGACCGTCCGAGCTGCCGGCGCAAGCGCAGACTACGATCGGGATCTGTTCCCTCACTGGATCAGTCAGGGAAAGTACGTCAATCTAGCTTCTGCACCTACTTTCCCACTATTAGGGCTGGCTGCACTTGGTGTAGATATAAAGATCGCCACTGACAGCTTCTACTAGCTCATGCAACACCCGCGAGCGCGTCCTCATCCGCGACGGCACGAACATCGTGACGGGCTCGGGCTGCTCCGTCACTGGCAGCTGGTACTCGCCTTACGATGGCGCGACATGGACAGACAAGAGTGACGTCGATATCGACCACGTTGTGCCGCTGTCGAATGCGTGGAATGTATGTGCCCACTCTAATTGTTAACCTTGGAGTTTGAGATTTGCTAACGATATGCGTGGCAGTCTGGTGCAAGTGAATGGACGACCGACGAGCGCGAGGCATTCGCCAACGACTTGACTATCCCGCAGCTGCTGGCTGTGACGGATAACGTCAACCAGGCAAAGAGTGACTCTGGGCCTGAGGAGTGGTTGCCTCCTCTATGTATGTCTCCATTCATTTTATTCCTGTTCTACTGTCGCAAAATATGCTAACGCATTCGTGCAGCATCCTACTACTGCACGTACGGCAAGATGTGGACGACCGTCAAGTACACGTATGGACTGTCCGTGACCTCGGCGGAGAAGAGTGCCTTGGAGGACTTGCTTGCCACTTGCTAGGAGAAATACTTAGATGCGGCAATGGAACAAGTCAGCGGAATTGATTTGCTCTGCAGATGAAAGATTCCCTCTCTAGATGGCTTTTTAAGCCGCTTCGTGTGAAGAGTATGAATACGGTGGGAATAGGCCTGGGAATTAAGCTCGAAAGAACATTGAGTGTTCTTAGTTTCTGCCTTTGGTCAATCTCCACCTCTTAGTCCTTATATATCCTCCAGGAGGTACAGAGTAGGAGTAACCGATGTGGTGCGGGGTCTCAACCTCGGCCAGGACCCTTGCTTCCCCCGCATTGCCCACCATCTTAAGGTGCCTGTCACTGTCAAGTCAACACAACAAAGATCTTGCCATCATCTTACCAAAACAATCGACAGAACTACCACGATGATCTTCAAATCCACCAGACCACACATCGACAGTACGCTCATTCTCAATCCAACCCCATCCCCCATACACAGAACCACTGACACATCTGCATCCAGTCCCGACCGACCTCCCAATCTGGCCCTGGCTCTTTGACTCCAAGTACTCCCCTTTAACGCAGCAGAAAGGCAAACCAGAGAACGAACGCAACCTCGGCTCCTTCGTCAACGCCCTAACAAAGGAATCAATTCGCTACGATGCCCTCGCGCACCTCACGACTTTCGTTTCCACGGCCCTCGTCAAGGAATATGGTCTTGGCCCCGGCGATACCGTCGCCCTGTTTAGTCCGAACACGATTTGGTATCCTGTTGCCATGCTGGCTGTTGTGAGGGCTGGTGCGTGCTGACCTAGGCTTGGTTTAATGTGGAAATCGGGACTGACTGGTGTCCAGGGGGTGTGATATCCGGCGCGTCTCCAGCGTACAATGTCGAGGAGATGAGCTATGCGCTTAAGACGGCGAACGCGAAGTTCCTTATGACGGTGCCGTCGAGCATGGATGTTGCGGTTCCGGCGGCGAGGAATGCGGGGATTCCGAGCGAGAGGGTCTTTTTGCTGGAGGGGAGTAAGGAGGGGTATGTTTCTGTGCGGACGCTTGTGGAACGGGGGAAGAGGTATGGACGGGGTCAGGTTGTGCCGTATGGCATTCCGGAGGGGAAGACGAATCGTGATGTCTGTGGGTTTTTGAGCTTTAGCTCGGGGACGACGGGGTTGCCGAAGGCTGTGAGTGCATCTACATACTTTTCGCCGGCATTGGGATGGCGGGATTTTACTGATGGTCGCAGGTCATGATCGCACATCACAATGTCATCGCGCAATGCATGCAAATCATCCAGCTCACTCAGAAGGAGACGGACAAGTCGCTCGCCGTCTTACCTCTTTTCCACAGTACGCTTCCCACCACTCTTTGAGTGTCAGCACTAACGAGAACAGTCACCGGCCTCGTCCACCAAATGCACCTCCCCATCATCCGCAACAGCACAGTGTACATGCTCCCCTCCTTCACCATGAAATCGATGCTCGACACGATCGTCGAGTACCGCATCGAAGAGATCCTCTCCGTGCCCCCGATAATAATCCGCCTGCTCCAAGACCCAATCGTATCGACCTATGACCTTTCGCACGTCAAGCGCTTTTCGTCCGGCGCGGCCCCGATCTCCGGTGAGATCCTGCAGAAGTTACAGGCTCGGTTCCCGTGGACAGGCTTCAAGCAGGGCTATGGCATGACCGAGTCATGTAGCTGCATTACTGCGCACCCGCCGGAAAGGCAGTCGTACGAGTTTGCGCAACGTGGGGGCATGATTGTTGCGAATACGGAGGTGAAGATTATCGATACCGAGACGGGGAGGGAAGTCGGGTATGAGGAGGAGGGTGAGATTCTCGCGCGTGGACCGCAGGTTGTCATGGGGTATCTGAATAATGAGAAGGCCACCAAGGAGACGTTTGATGAGGCGGGATGGCTGCATACCGGGGACGTGGGGTACATGGACCGCGAGGGGTTCATTGTTATCACCGACCGGATCAAGGAGATGATTAAAGTCAAGGGCATTGCGGTGTCGCCGGCGGAGATTGAGGATCTGCTGCTGGGGCATCCGGCCGTCGACGACGTGGGCGTTACTTCTGTGGCGGATGAGTATGCGGGTGAGAAGCCGAAGGCGTACGTCGTGTTGAAGGAGGCTGTTAAGGGGAGGTTAGCGAGCGAGGAGGGCGTGCAGGCTGTTGGCAAAGAGCTCATCGAGTATGTCAAGGCGAAGAAGGTGCGGCACAAGTGGATTGTCGAGGTCGAGTTTCTGGATGAGGTGCCCAAGAGCGCGAGTGGGAAGATTCTAAGGAGGATGCTGCGTGATCGCGAGAAGGATAAGAGCAAGACTGACAACGGGAAGAGGCTGATTGTGAGGGACGAGAAGGTGAAAGCAAGGCTGTAAATATCTCGAGACTTGATATACACTTACAGGGAAGGTATGAAGATCGCACAAACTAACACCTGAGCTTGACCTTGTCCACCATCGAACTCCAGCAAAGATTCCCAGCTTTCTCCTGCATTGCATGCGCCAACCGGGGTATATCCATGTCAAATAGCATTTTATCCGTCTCATCAACCGCCGTCGCTCGATATAAGCGACACAGCCATCCATTGGACGGTAATGATTCCAGGTCGGAGGATGAAAACGTTGGGCCATGCAAGGACTTATCTTCCGATGACTCGACGCAGTTCTCAACTACCTCACTCCCTTCTCATGAGATCATCACTCACCATAACTAGGGATATCTACATCGCCAACCATTCGCGATAATGGAGTGCCTCAAGCACATCACAGCCCGCAAAGTGCTCTTCCGCGGCGGCGAGTAAGCGTCCCTTTCCTTCTTGTCTTCCCCAATCCAGCTCTTCTCAACGAGCTTCCCTTCTCAGCGAGCTTCGTTCTCACAAGATCATCAAACAGGCCCTGGCCCGGCGCCTGGCGCACCCGCACCGATCCTCCTCAAAGCAGCCGCGGGCAGAACAACAACCACAACCACACCAACGGCCTCCCCCGCGGCTCCAGCCACGCCCGTAACCTCTCCTACGCCTCCATCGAGCACCACTCCTACGCCGAAACAACCGAGTTCCACGGCTGGCTCGACCGCGCCCCGCCAGGCACGGACACCAGTCCCAAGGGCACCGTCAATTCCGCATGCATGGAGTCCTCGCGGGACAATCTCGAGTTCAAAACAGTGGATCTAACCGCCTACGACGCAATCGAGGTCGTCCTGGGGAAATCCGACGGGAAGGTGTATACGATCGCACTAGAAGACGAGCGGCAGTTCCTCTCGTGGGAGGGCCAGTTCCGCTGCGTGAATGAGAAGGGCCTTATGACGCCGACGAGGCGGATATTGAGGCTTGGGGATCTGGTGCCGCGGCGCCAGCGCACGAGCGCGATTATGCGGAATAGTCCGCGGTTGTTGGATGCGAGGAAGGTGGGGAGATTTCGGGTTGCGATTTTCAAGTTCGTTCATCCTCCTCTCTATCTTCGTCTCATTTAATGGCTTTTGCATGGAGTGAGGTGTGCTGATGATATGCTGTACAGTTCCCATCCCAGCCAGGAAGGACCGTTCTCGCTGAGCATATACTCGATCAACGCGGTTAAGCTGAATTGCTCGTGTCCGCCGGTTGTGGATCCCGTGATTGAGAGGCAGAATGGTGTGTGGAATTGGAGGGTAGGGGCCGAGTTGGCCTTGTCGGAAGTAAAGAACCGCATGGGAGAGGTTGCGTTATTTCTGCGCGCGAGGATGCCGGAGTTGGAGTCCAAGCTGAAAGCGCAGATCAAGTCGAGGCTCAAGACGGGTGATGCTTTGGGATGGGGATGGGTACGGAAGGCGAAGAAGGGGTCTCTTTAGGAGTGGGACAAAGCATGGATGACTTTGGTAGCCTGGTTTTGGTATTTTGATCATGTTCAAGTGATTTCGAGAGTTTTCTTATCGTCTACGGCTCATCCCGGTTGTCCACTTACTTCACTTGAGTGCAATGAGCCTTTTGGATTGAAACGCTCCGATTCCCAGATTCTTAATCTACTTGCTATACCATTTACCGTGGTCAAGAGTAACTTCGCTTGAAGTCCGTCTTTAATCTCGATGGACTGGCTGGAGGGTTGGTGTACAGCAAGAGTCACAGGCTGCGCTGCCTCAAGCACAATGGGAAGAGTTAGGGCTCAACTAGTACAGCCAAGCCAGCCACAATTCCTACCGGGTCCCAGGCAGCCGATGAGGAGGTATGCTTGTACTTTAGAGATGGCGAATCCATTGCCTCATGATAGACTCGCTAGACGTATGCATTATACGCTCAGTCCTCCTAGCATACTCCTTGAGTACATATTGCTGACCGATGCTCAGCCCTAACTCATCACGTAGTCTACCCTGTCCGCGAACCAGCTGATATCATTATAGGTCCTGAGCCCCACTGATATCCCATCACCGCTTCGCTTCGCTTCCGCCGCGGGTCTACGGTTGAGTCTTGATCCTAGCTCAGACTCAGAGTCTCAGAGCTGGAGCTGGAGCCTGGAAGTCTATATCAGACCCACCCATCAGGCAATGAAGCTTGGGAATGGAGCTGGTCCCGATTCCCAAGAACACCAGCCTTGCAGTGAGGACATGGCCTGATCGTGATGGCTCATGGGTCGAAGTCAGGACCGTCTTGAGAGCTGACCTAACCCGAGCGCAGTGGCCATGATGCGACGCGATGCGATGGAATGTGTCAAGGAAAAGCAGACATCAAGCCCAGGTATCCAGGGAGCTTGCATTTGCAGCCTGACGTTGACGATGATAAGAAAAAACTGGAGTATAAAACTGGAGCACTGAAGAAGAGCGCGAATAGCCGAGACCGGATATCCGCGGCTTCCCGCGGCGAGCGCCACAATGCCGAGGTCGCTTCCGCACTCACCAGCCCCATCTCCGCGCCGAACCGAGCATGCCAACCACTCTCATGGTCTGATTGGTCCATGTCCGGAAGCGTTTGTGGCTTGCGCGCTGTCTCCGAGATTAGGGCCTGATGTCAACGTGCCCGTGCGGAAAAGTATGGATCCCGCGTGTTGATTTTGATGTATGAAACCTGTCTCCGCGTCCTGCCTGTGGGCTCTCCGTGCCGAACCCGATGAGAGCATAGCATGATGGATGGGTCTCGGGAGGCCGAGACTAGAGGAGTGAGGACGGGGGAGAAAATTTGCAGATGGGTCTGGATGGTGAGGGTTGGGGTATATAGGCGGGCTGGTGCCGTTGTTTTCTCGTAGAGAAAAGAGACAGTCATTCCAGCACCAAATCAGCTCGCCGTAGCTCAGTCTTGCGAGAGGACGGACGCGGCTATGGATCGCCTCAATCAGACCCTTGACGGTAGCCGTGTCATGCACACGGATATCGACAAGGAGTTTCCCGTTACGCAGACTGACGTCCACACTCACCCACAATCCTCCCGCACGAGCACGGACACCGAGTCCGATACCAAGACCCTCGATCAACCCGATTCCCTCGAGCTCTCGCGCATCGAAACACACCGTCTCCAGCAAAAGACCACCGTCGGGTCAACGCGAGGCCCCCAGCCGCGAGAAACGTGGCTGCCAATGGGCGCGGGCAAGGAATATCCGCCTCTTATTCCGGACCCCGAGGGCTTCGTGGTCGAGTTTGATGGAGCCGATGATCCGATGCATCCGTATAACTGGACGTTGATGAGGAGGTAAGACGGTACCAGTTCTGGGGCACGAGCTAGTTGGGTTGGCTAACAGTATCGGCTGCGTAGAATATTCCTCGTCTGCATCCTCTCATACAGTACATTCGCGACATCATTCACGAGCGCCGTTTTCTCCGCCGGTATATCGGCCGTGACGAAAGAATTCAACATCGGGTCTGAAGTCGGGTCGCTGGGCGTAACGCTCTACGTCCTTGGCTTTGCCGCCGGCCCGATCGCCTGGGCGCCCATGTCCGAAGTCATCGGCCGACGGCTGCCGATCTGTCTCGGCATCTTTGGGTGCGGAATTTTCACTGTCGCTTGCGGAGCAGGAAAAGATATCCAGACGATCATGATAACGCGGTTCTTCGCGGGCTTGTTCGCGGCGAGCCCCGTGTCCGTTGTGCCGGCCGTCTTCGCAGACCTATTCTCAACTGCCCAGCGCGGAATTGTCATGTCCGTCTTTTGCATGGCGGTGTTCGTCGGACCCTTCGCTGCGCCGTTTGTCGGCGGCTTCATTGCCATGACGCTGGGTTGGCGGTGGATCCTGTACATCTCGGCGATCATGGTCTTCCTCGGGTCCGTGCTTGCGTTTTGCTTCATGGATGAGACGTATGCGCCTGTGATTCTGGTGCACAAGGCCGCGGTTCTGCGGAGGCAGACGCATAACTGGGGGATCCACGCGAAGCAGGATGAGGTGGAGGTGGAATTTGGGCAGTTGGTACGGAACAACTTCTTGCGTCCGTTGAGGATGCTCGTCACTGAGCCGATTCTGCTTTTGGTGTCGCTGTACATCTCTTTCGTGTATGGGCTCATGTATGCCCTTCTAGGCGCGTACCCGGTTGTCTTCCAGCAGGTGTACGGGATGAACCTTGGTGTCGGCGGACTGGCTTTCGTCGGGCTGATCATTGGCGAGCTCGTCGGGGGAGCATATGTGCTTATGCTTCAAGGCTCATACAAGCGCAAACTCGACGCAAACCACGGCCAACCCGTGCCGGAATGGCGCCTGACCCCGGCCATCGTCGGATCCGTCGCGTTCACGGCCGGTCTGTTTTGGTTCGGATGGTGCGGGTACAGAGATGATATCCACTGGATGGCGCCTGTTGCGTCGGGCGTCCTCACTGGACTCGGCATCTTCTGCATCTTCCTGCAGTGCTTCAACTATATCGTTGACTGCTATCCTACCTTGGCTGCTTCGACCATTGCCGCCAACACGATTCTCCGTTCAGCGGTCGGCTGTGCATTCCCGCTCTTCTCGCGGCAGATGATGACGAACCTCGGCGTCCAGTGGGCTGGTACCCTGCTGGGGTGTATCGCTGCTGCAATGATTCCAATCCCGGTGTTGTTCCGCATGTATGGGCCGTGGTTGAGGCAGAGGAGCAAGCTGGCTTGCGCTTCTGTGTATAATCCTCATAAGAAGGGAGATGTATGAAGGAAAACTCGTTCAATAGATTTCCCGATGATATGGACATGTATATAAACCAAGATACCCACGAATTATGAACCACAATATGTGTTACCGTCCACTGTTCGCGTAAGATACACTCACTGTTTCGGTCATGCGTAGGGCACAATAGCCGAAAGCCAAGGACATGGCCATTCCACGTTCTTATGGTTTCCCGCCCACGATGCTAAGAGGCCACTACTGTATCATTAGCTCTATAGGATGATAGGTGATAGAGAAGATGAAGTATGAGGTGAACGTATCACAGTCTGAAGCGATGTTGATTAATCCACTATGCTGACCAGGCACCTTCATCCCCTTCCAATACCCAACTCATGCTACCGCTGGGAAAGCGCGGTCTCACTGTGCACGCGCAGAAACTCTCTCTCCAGCCCGTTCCTCATCCTTCCTGAACCGAATGATATTCGAATTAAACACTGCGACCTGTTAGCGCACTGCCACACTAAGCATCAAACCTAGAAGTGAGTGTACATACCATCTTCCATCTCCTCCAACGACTTACCAGTTGTCTCTTTGATAAACACAAACACGTAAACAACGATCGCCCAGTTGAAGATGCAAAACATCAAGAACGTCCGCCAGCCCATGTTGCTCACCGCATGCGGCGTTGCCTGCGAGAAGACAAAGTTGAACAGCCACTGCGTTGCAGTTCCGATGGCGATGCCGATTTCGCGAATGCGTGTTGGGAAGATCTCGCTCATGTAGAGCCATGGTACGGGGCCCTAATCAAGTTATTAGCGTGCTGTGCAAATGTAGCACCCTGAGTGCTCTAATCTTCCCGTTGGTCTCCATACCCAAGACATGTTATACGAAGCGGCCTCCAGGTAAATCATTGCGATGGACGCAGCGGTAGGCGAAGAGATACCGGTGGCGTTGGGATCTGGCGTGAAGACCTTAGCAAGAATGGCGACTATGAGCATCAGCGCCCCCATCATGAAAGCGCCGATTGCTAGGGACCATTTGCGGCCAATCCGTTCGACGAGGAAAAGAACGAAGATTCCGCATGCGACGACTTTCACAACGCCGAAGAAGCCGGTAATCAAGAGCGTATCGTTCTCGCTGGTCCCGACGGCACCGAAGATTTGAGGGGCGTCTATCGCTGTCAGTTTTGTTGTTATTCAGCATGGTTCGAGTATGAGTGACCATACAGTATGCTAGTGAGGTATTTCCAGTGCATTGAGCGCCTGGAAACGTTAGCATGGGTCAATATCTGCTTATCGTGGACGTACAAATCTGTATAGTAATTGCGACGAAAATCCTGTACCTGTTGGCTGGGAGATTCAGCTCTTTCCAGGTGACTCCCTCGGTTGCAGCAACTTCGGCGCTGATGCCATCCAGGATCTCCGCCATTTCAGCGCGAACCTCCTCGGTATCTTCTCCTCCGCGCACCCAAATCAAAGATTGTAGAGCCTCCTCGTGCCGACCTACACTAGCCAGCCATCGCACACTCTCCTTGAGAAATAGCATGCCGACGCCCAAGATACCAGCGGGCACGAGTTGCAGCCCGATAGGAATCTGCCATTGGCGATCGGAGGGTTCGACGTGTTTCTCGACGGCATAGTCAATCCAGTAGGAGGTCATGACACCAAGTGTGAAGAAGAACTGGAACAAACTGCCCAGCTGGCCTCGGATCTCCTTAGGGCTCATTTCTGCGCTGCGACGGCGGTTGTTAGCTCAGTCCACCTATTATCAGATGAAGATGTACCTGTACATGGGCACCATTACAGTGGCCATCCCAACCCCGACACCACTAATCACACGCGCGGCGTAGAAGGCGCCAATGGAGTGGGTTGGGGCCACCTGAATTATACCGCCGACGCAGAAGATCACAGATGCGAGCGCGATGGACCATCGGCGACCAAACTTCTTGGTAAACGGCCAGGCGAAGAAACACGAGAAGAAGGCTACGTCGAAGTCTGGTATCAGTGGGAGCTTATAAGAGCTAGGACGAGCACGCACCTCCGGCTTGCAACAAACTGGTTGAATTCGATGCGATATCCGCCCTCTCCGCCTCGGAGTACCGAAATGATTGCTTGAAGGAGTCTAAAGTAAGAATGCCGCCTATAATTCCGGTATCGTATGCGAATAAGAACGATCCGACGCAGCAAACCGACACCAAGAACACCGCCCGTAGGCGACCGAGTAGCTTGCCCATGATGACGGTCGAGCAGTAATCAGGCTGAAATGCTGGCACGGATACCGCGATGATGAGGGAAGATTTGCGACTGGGATCGGCCTATGCGCAGGCTTTGTATTCTGGCTGATGCGGGGAAGTCAACAGAGCTGTGACACGACCAAGCTACCGAAAGGCACGGGAAATATGGCATGGCGGCCATGGTCGCATGGTCTTATGCAACGGTTTTCCGACGCTGAAATCCGTAGGGCCGATTAGCTTGAGGACAACTTTTGTGATTCGAAGACCAGGAAATAACATCATCGAAGCTAAGCATAACACCATTTTTATCAAGTCCGGGGTAAGTCAGGTGGGTTATGGGTCCGAAAGGTAGATCAATCAAAAGGCGTCCTGGCTTCTTAGCGGGGAGATGGATCGCGAGGTGTCATTTACCGTAGCGCAAGCCACTTGAACGAAGTGGTGTCCATCGGAATTCTTAACTCGGGCGCTTGCAAGCCAATCTTGTTAACGTCCACAAGTCAACCTTCGCCTCTTGCAAGGGGGGTGCACAAAATAGCGGACTTACGCGTCTCTCAAACTCCATACGAGTGTTGGCGCTCGATCACGGTCTTGGCCAGGCTTAACATGGCTTCTATAAGCGACAGGGTTCATGAGAAGGGTCAGGAAGCGATGGCGCGATATGCAGGCTTTTCCTTGCGGTCATATGCTGCGCTGGCTTGACCGCGGTCGCGAAAGGGAGACTGGGAAAATGTAAAGGTGGCTACCGGTAACTAGGATCTTCCAGCTTGAGATCCAAGCGAGCTGCACCGTAGGTTATGGACGAGAACGTAGCCGCATCCTCGTAACACTTGATTGCGGCGGTGGGCTTGCCGACTGGGCATGTGCCATTAAGCATCAATGGTAATACCGGTGGCTGGATCAAAAGAGCTTATATCCCGCATGCTTTCAAGTTCGAGTCTGGCCTCAGATCGTCTCTTAGTTATTCGATCCCGAAGGCGTGATCCAACGTCTTGTTGACACCACCAAATCAGAATAATCCTCCACGCGTATTGCGGGAAATGGATATTCTGACCGCATGTCCACGCACTGCAGGTCTTTGTGCACACAACTGTCGTATTCCATCGGGCCGTGTCCATCGTCAGATATTTCGTGATTTCAGCGAGAATGATGCGACACGGCTGGTCAGAAGCACGCGAGTGTGTTTGACTCTCGGAAAACGTAAGACAGGCCAATCGAGGGATCAGGCACGTGGTCGACATCAATTGATGAACCAGGCTCGGTGGTTGCGTCTTCCATGGTTTGTATTTGGGGCTTGGTCAAACGTTGGACCTAGCTCCAACTCCCCCAGTCAGCCTTGTGTTCGAATTTCATCTCTCAAGACCAAGCTTTCCTTACACGGAGACTCTCTCGTCTTGCAGCATCCACCCATCTTCGTTGGCGATGTGTCTCGCAGTCCCGCCGCAATGCCACCGCAATCTGGTGTATTTCCCAATTGCGTGAGAACTGGACCTGGAGCGAAGAGTTGCGGACGGGAAGGAGTAAAGGCGCAGCAGAGCGACCGCAATCTGTGTGGAAATCTCGTGGTTTTGATCGAGACGTCTGGGGCGCCGATTCTCTCAGGTATTTCAATCGCCGATCCTCAAAATGGAGTGAGTAAGAAGATTGAAAGATGCTTGAGGGTGGTGTTGCGCGCGAAGTCGAGACGAGAAGGTAAATGGCTCTGCATTCTTTGGCCTGAGGCCGTCAATGCGTCCTTTCCTCCACAACAGAGTGATGATCGTTCACCATCCTCAAGGATCACAAACAGCTACGATTCCACTCCTGAGAGGACAAGACGAGGCAGGATCAATCTTTGCTAGTATTGAAAGATCTAGGGCCCTTGCTTCTGCTTATGGAAAATAATATGGCCCATGATTTGTCTTCGGCTGAACCGCGCCCGCAAGAACTACATACAGGTGAGCAGCGACTTTTCGAGTGACATGCTTACGTCGCATACCACTGTTTTTGTTTTCTTTGAGTTCCAAACTCTTGTCTGATTCTGGTCTGACATATTTTGTTCTAGCGATCGCGCCCCTATTATGCTCGAACAGCCAGGCGTCTCGAACCCCGCAAATATCGAAGCCGATATTATGTCTTGGAATACTATATACTAGCAGACCCCTTTTCTGGGGCAGGGACAACGTCGAGAACGTTCCAACCGCAAACCAACCGAAGCCTCCACATCGTGTCCGGGGATGCCGAACCGTCTCCAGCGATCAGCGCAAGCCCCAGAGTTGAACAGGCTACGGCTGCTCTACCATTTGCCCTGTGGCTAAACAAATACATTGTTCTACATCATACCAACGTAATCAGATTTGGACATGGTTCATCGAGCAGTTGACGTCCCCAAGGGCCACAAGATTCATCAGGCTGTGCAATCAACTCGAAACTCGCTTGGAAAGCTGTGGGTACAGAAATGGGCCGGTGACTGTGGACCTCGTGACTGGCTTGGCCTCCGTCAGAGGTCTCAGATGTTTTTCCACTGATTTGCGGTGTGGAAGACCCGGCGTCTCTGCTGTTGAGGTTGTTGGCATTGGGGTTGACTACAAGTCGCCGGGTTTCAGCGCCTGTTCCTCAGCTCTCGCGTACGGAGTATCGGCTGTTAATGCTCTTTCGTGCAATGATACAGCAAGGTTCCCTATGCCACCCTACAGCTTGGCTAGCTACTCCGGGTTGCACTGCAGAATCGTTCCAAAAATGGAAGACGATCTAAAACCAGGCCAATCAGTGTTGAAGGAAGCGACGATCTCAGCTGATCCCTGGAAATATGCCGGACCCCTGGTCCTCAAGTATAAATAGCTCAAGATTCCATGCCGTTTGTTTACCATCATCTACCATCCAGCACCAACTCGATCGCCTTCGATTATCCATCCAGCAACATGAAGTTCACCGCTGCCGTCGTCACTGGCCTCCTTGCCACCAGCGCCTCTGCTCTTTTCGACAAGTACCAACGTAAGTCGACCGTGGCCATATTGACTGATCGAAAACGAAACTAATACGCGATTCTCAAACAGCCTGGGGCAAGCGCGATTACTCCTGCATCAACGCCTACTCGGGACCTACCGGTTTGTGCTCCGTCTTTTTCTCTCGGCCTCACTCTGACAGCCAAACCAGAAAACAGCACAATTGCCGCTGGCACCACTGTTGAGATCAAGTTCGACCGCAACAGCGGCCGCTGCGACTCCTACTTGGACGCCTACCCCGCGTCCAACTACAGCCTGTGGCTCTACAACAACCCTGTCAGCGTTATGAACGGCGTCAACTCGGATGCCGAGGTCAGGATCCGTCAGAATGACATTCCCAGCAACGCTAGCAGCGTGGCCTTCTCGCTTCCTACCGACCTGCCCGAAGTTGACGACGACACCGTTTGGTATCTTCGTCTGAGCACCTCTCTTAACACTGCTCCTCAGGTTAGTAATTTCTCTTAACTTGGCGGGTTTGGTGTTCGGGCGGAAGCTAATTGGACTTCAGATGCCTTCCCTCTTCAACGTTCTCGGCCCCTTCCGCATTGTCCAGTAAATTCAACTCTGCGGTACGATAGGTTTCTTTCGTTTTTACTAGGAGAAAAGTACGACCCTAGACATCGCTTTTTTCCAATCAATGTGTATATAGCAGCAGTTCTCAAATCCGCCCATGACAAGGATGACAAGAGGGCACATTAATGGAAAGTTAATCTACTGAAAAGTATGAGACAAGCTTATGTCTGGCTCATGCCCGGCTGGAGGAACTACCCTTCTGAACCATGGTCCTGACTGCCTGAGGAGAATCTAGGAAATCTGGTTAAAGAGCCCTAAAACTCGATATATGTCTACGGAAACTGCGATATTAAGCGCATACTCCAATGAATTGCCAGCAGATACTTTACGATCGCGATTGAGTAGAATTTTTGATCCATCCTGCTGAGTCGTCCTAAAGGTACCTAGGACGTTTGCGCAGGTAGACTTGTAGTATATAGGCCAAGGTCAGACTCGCTAGCTATAACAATAGGCCGCGAGCTTCGAGCCCCCTCTTCTTATGATATAATAGAACGGCATTTTATTTTCCATCTACCCAGGCCACTAGGTAAACTAGGGCGACTCCCGACAGGTCTTCGACCTACCCCAGATTATAATTTGAAATGCAACTCCCAGCGTGCAGAGGCCTCTTATTTACTACGGTTAACCAGTTGCTAGTTACTGTTAATATATCAGGGGCGGCCCCGGCTATTTTGCAGGTTCCCCTTGGGCCTTTTCAAATCTACCTGACTCGGTGGCGAGTGGAGTTAAATAGTTGGAAGCAAGCCCACTGATGGCTTTCGACTATAGGCCATATATCTGAGAGCCAGCGGGTTGATTATGCAGAATGTTGAGGTGGTTAAAAGAAATGGAGAGGACTGATCGAGAAATATATATTAGGGGGGTTCGGTAGTTGGGGGCTTCAACGATGTTGACCTATGCGTGAGACTACGAGTGGCAATATATATCTGTCGAGTAACGGGACTCAGAGCATAGCTACTCCGCAACACCACAAAATCTTCAATGATGCGGCAGCTTTGATACTCCGAGATCAAGCACAATCTTGGACAGTAATCCACGACCATGGCGTTATACTGGCAATCGCGGGGCCCAGCCGGGGACAGAAAGCTGCTTCAACATTCCTATGTGTTGGTGCACGAAAAGCCGAGTCACTCGCGCCTGTCCTATTAGCCACCTCGTACGTTGGCGGCCCATGGACGTGGATACCCGGACAGAATACTCCCAGACGGGGCTTTTGAGGCGGGGCAGGCGGTGAACTCGGCCCCGACATTCTTTATTCCCCGAGCCACGAGCTGCCATCTGCAAGGGACTGGCAGTCCAGATCAAAATGTCCGGAAAGTTATTCAAGAGCTGCAGGAGATGCAGGCAGCAAAAAGTGCGATGCGACGCCCGCACCCGCATGCCTTGCTCTCGATGTCGCGCTGGCGGGTATGAGCACGAGTGTGTCCTCGATACAATCAGCAGGCCACGCCCGGCGGAGAGGAGGCATGCGGGCAATGCGGCTCGGTATGCTCCCACACTGAACCTTGGATCATTCAAGGCCATGCAGCCTTATATGAAGACTGACTCTGTATAGTCAGAGGAATAACTTCGGAACCGGCCTGGCTGTCAGCCCAAGAAGCAACATTTCGGTGTCGAGCAACCACATTGAGAACCTCGAGCTGCAGCAATTTAGCCCGCAAGACATGATCGCGCCGCAGTCGGTTATGCATTCCATGTCCGTGAATATGAGGGAGAGCTCGCCGATTTTCCTGGGCGATTCGGACGTGTCCGATCCGAAGGGCGACATCATCTCGCGGGGCATTATCAGTGAGGAGGACGCGAGATGTATCTACGAAAGGTAATAAGACCAAGACGACGGAGTAGCAGCATACTGACAATGCTAGGTTCATGAACTGCAGCAAGAACTTCATACCCCTCTTCGACCCTGTCCGAGATACTTTCGACTCCGTCCGCTCGCGATCGCTCTTCTGCTTTACGGTGATTGTTTACCTGGCGAGCCGCGCAGCTTCAGACTTCCGCAGCAATACCCATTTGCAGCGTGTGCTACAAGATGAAGCCCAGCGACTAGCGGAAGATTCTTTCTTCGCCAAACCGACCAAATTGGAGACTGTCCAGGGGATGATTCTGCTTGCAGCGTACTCGGAAAAGACATGGTTTTCCACGGCACTCATTCTGCGCACAGCCCTTGATCTAGGTCTCGAAAAGTCCGTTGACACTCTGTTGGCGCAAAGCGCACCGCCGAGAAGCTACCTGTCGGCGAAAATGGAGGATCGACAGCTTGTATGGCAGACACGTACATGGCTTATCTCGTCTACATTGGAATTGGACGTCGCGAGTGGAACGGGACGAAAGTCGCGGCTGGGCGATGTCGATATCTCGAAGCTGCGGAGATTCCTAGACTATCCCCTGTCGCTTCACTGTGATATGCGCACCGTCTCCATTATCGAGTATCACCAGATACGAACTAGAGGACGACAAGTAATAGAGAACTCGGCAGCTTCTACGATCATATCCACCGAACTACCAGCAATCATGCGGAAGCTGCAGCAATGGTGGGAGGAATGGGACGAGCTGCACCATCGTAAGACAACACCCCTAGCTCCTCGATAGCCGCTTATTGTACTAGAAAATGCGTTTCATCCCGGTGCGTTCCAGCGGTCATCTCTGAAGCTAATGCTGAACTATGCCAAGGTAGGCATCATTCCCCTTCTCGCACGCCATATTGACGCACCCAGGTATTTACATACTGTGCGGCCATAGCCAGAATACAGAAATTGCAACAGGCACCCGAAAGTGCTCAAGCTGTTGACTCTGGTGCCGTACTCGGGCTCTGGAAGTCATTGGTGGAGGTGATCGAGAGTCAATTGACGCTACTGGTGACGGAGTCCGCATACCGATGTCAGTTAGTGTGGGCCCCGACATACCCAGCTTTAACTATTGCGTTCATTAGTAAGTGGATTGAGGCTCTGGCTCCTAGTTTGCTAATAGCGATAGCAACGTTCGCCATCAGAGTAGCGCGATGGCATCCTACATTGATCAACCGGCGCTTGGTGTTACAGCGCGCTCGACAAATCCTAGATTATCTCAAACAACCCCCATACCCAGACATCCACAGAACCGTCCAGATATTTGTCAACTACGCCGGAGCACTTCTGGCGGAACAGGACCTTTGTAGTAATGACAACGGGCAATCCGCTGCTCAGCCGTCGAGGACCCCAGACGTAAACAGCACCCCTCGCTCGGAGCTCACCACTGGCATGCCAGAACCAATGCTACGGGTGGAAGGGGAAACCGACCTGACCGCTTCTTTGCCTCCAGAGTCAAGACCAGAGCCGGTCCTACCCCGGCTTTTGGGATTCGACATCCCAAACTGGAACCTGACTGCCCCGATAGCTGATTCGTTCGACCTGTTTGAAGAAGGCCAAACAGACATATTTGACTTCCTTCCGGACCTGTCCCGGACTTGACGTCAGTTTGATCACAATGAAATATAACACATGCAAATATGCGCGAATCCTTTCCATTCACAGTCTGCCTCCTGACAATGAAGCGCAGATGCCTGCTTTGACAGCTTGGCCAGACCCGAAAGGCCAATGGATCATGGGTCACAGGGCTGGTAGCTGCATAATACTGCGTTGCGTCCCAATCCTCCAATGGCAAGTCTACGTGGTCGCTGGCCGAGTCAGGCCCTGAACCGGCCATGGTCGGGTCCGATCGGTGCCGGCATCGGGGCCGACATGAGCACAACAAGCCTGCATTCACTGCAATGCTATTGGGGAATTTGCTAGAACCGGAAACAAGGCAGCATTGTGCATGTGTCTGGCCGGGCCGAATAAGTTTCTCTGAGTCAAGGAGCAAACTTGGAGTGAATTGACCTCAATTGTGGAGTCTCGACTCTGATACTTAATCACCACAGGCGCGCGATTGCAGCACTCAATTCTCCGACTGCAAGCATCAGGTACCAAGGTAGAAACACAATGGCTGCAAAGTCTCGAGTTACCCAGATGGAGAAGCCTTCGCCCATTGTTGTGTCGGGTATGTCGCTTCCTGGGCTTGTTGTGCCTATACTGACCGAGACTCGGATGGAATCTCAGCCTTGACTCTCTGCAATTCTGTGCCCTCGACTCCGCCGACCCCTACCGTGATCACGTTCGACGATTGCCCAGAGAAGAACCCCTACAAATGGCCGTTTCCCAAGAAACTCTACGTTTTCATCTTTGCCCTCTTGTCCGTCATGAATAGCGCTCTTGCCTCGTCGCTTCCCAGCAATGCCGTCCCTTATATCATCGACGATTTCAAGGTCCAAAACAAGCACGAAAGCAGTCTGCCCACTGGTATCTTTCTGCTAGGATACGTCGTTGGTCCTGTGCTCTGGAGTCCACTGAGCGAAACGATTGGACGGCGTCCCGTTCTGCTGTATAGCTTTGTTGTGTTCTTCTTGTTTACCCTGGCTTCTGCTCTTGCTCCCAACTGGCAGTTGCTCCTTTTCTTTCGCTTCGTTTGCGGGAGCATGGGCGCGTCTCCTCAGACTGTTGTTGGAGGGGCTTATGCGGATATCTACGAGGCTCGGGCACGCGGCATAGCGATGGCATTCTACATGGCTGTACGTCATTCGAGTCAACTCTCTCGCTCTTGCTGACGTGTAGTAGGTAGCAAGCTTTGGACCTATCATCGGACCCATTATTTCCGGCTTTGTGTCCCAGTATGGATGGCGATGGTGCTTCTGGGTAGATCTGATATGTGCAGGCGTCACATTAGTCGGACTCATCTTCTTACCAGGTACGTCCCTGGCCACGGCTCAAGAGTCAAGCAATACTGACTGCATCACAGAGACGTTTGGCCCGGTGATTCTTAAGCGTCATGCCGCCGAGCTGAGCAAGAAGCTCGGAAAAGAGATATCAGCCCCCGTGTCCAAGTTCGACAAAGACCTCAAGACCATTTTTCTACGACCGCTGTACATGTTGATCTTCGAGCCGATTATCCTCTTCACATCGATATACGTTGGCATCGTCTACGCGCTCGTCTACTTCTACTTCCAGGCCTACCCTATAATCTTCCCCGAGATTTACAACTTCAGCATCCAAACGACCTCCTTGACACTCCTCCCACGTAAGCTCCCTACCTATCACCACCACCCATTCACTACTGATAATCTGTAGTTGGTATTGGCGCCGCCTCGACCGCACTGGTGGCAATAGCCTGGGACTCAAAGTACACTTCCGCTCTCTTAAACGAAAAACGCCGAATCTGCTTCCTCCCCGTAACATTCAGCCCGGAAACGCACCGCCTCCCAATCTCCTGCATCGGCAGCATCGCAATCACAATTTCGCTCTTCTGGCTTGCCTGGACCGCTGCGCCATCCATCCACTGGATCGTCCCCGTCCTCTCGGGCCTCTTCTTCGGCTTCGGATACCAGTCCATCTTCACCTCGCTCCTCATCTACGTCACGGACGCGTACAAGATATACTCGGCGAGCGCGCTGGCGAGCTCCGTGATCGTGCGCAGTATGCTTGGTGCGGCGCTCCCGGTCGCTGCCAAACCAATGTATGCGGCTCTTGGTGTTGGCTGGGCAACGTCTCTTGTTGGGTTCGTGAGTGTTGCTTGTGTGCCGATTCCGTATGTGTTGTTTTGGAAGGGGTCGTGGGTGAGGAATAGAAGCGCGTTTTGTCAGATGCTTGTTCGGGATGAGCGCGAGTCTGAGTCTGAGTCTCGTGGGAATAGGATGGAGTCTGGAGAGTGTTAGTTGTCTTTGGCTTATGCTGAAGGGAGCAACATGGGCTGAGCTGGGGGGAGCTAGGTAGGAAGAGACAGCCCTGACTTACCCACGACTGGGCCGAGCACGATTGATCACTTTCAATAAAAGTACGCATCTATCTGCATGAGGTTCCTCTAGATAGACAAGACATTGCAAATAAGAATTATTGCTTGAATTTTGAGCAGCTGATACCTATCCGTACTGACCATGGTTTGCTGTGATCCTTAGTACCCTGGACCTGGTGTCCGAAGAAGCCCTGGAAGGGCGACCTGCCTCAGTCCCAGGCCCAGCCTAGTTTCTATTAATAAGAATCCTCTTCCAAACCTTGTCATGACCTCTAAACATGCCTCAGTCCGAGCTCACCAGGGATTGCTAGACAATGTCTTTTTCTTATGTCTTCGCGTCTCGAGGACCCGGCGGCTGTTGTCTTGAAGATGGTTTAGCCTTGAGTAAGGTCAGAAATGATGTCTAGTCCTGATCTGGCCCTGGCTTCCTGCCTGGACCCTGGCAGTGAAGGCTGGGGCTGGAGAGCCCATGGATGGTTCCGATGAGATTCGCAGTAAAGGCATCAGTGAAGAGGTTTCTCCACACTTCCTCCTGAACTGATTCTCATGATCACCGACCATCTTGGCCACAAAGATGTCCTTTATCTCGCCGGCTCGAGCCACGACCTTCATACTCTCCTTGCCCAGCGCACATTCGAACAGCTGGAATTTGACCAGGAAGATGTATGGCAATTCTCCCGCCTGACACATCACTTCACCCTAAACCGGAAAGATGCAGAGTCTGTAAGAGCGCTCCAGGGCACGGCCGCGTACTCTCACAAAAGAAGCGAGTTCGATGTCCACGACGACTCCAATATCATGCAGCCCCTTTTTGAGAGTGCATTCCAGCCCGCCACCTCCTCAGAAGAGTTGCGAGACGAGACCGAGGCCTGGAAAGCCAGCTACACGGAATGGGCTGATCAAGACGCCTGGCTCGCTGCACTATTACCGCTCCTTCCTTTAGGTACCTCGAAGTTCTTAAACTGCCATACCCATCCCGGTCTCTCTCCGAATCGTAAACGAACGCCATGCTCCAATGTATCACGTCCAGCAGGGCCCTGGCTCACTCCTATTCCACCCCCGTGTTTTCCAACCTCAAGCACACAATTATCAGCTCCAACAACCCAGAGAGCGAGACTAGCAACTACGTCCTCCCGTTCTTCGGTCTTCCGTCCCTCTTCAGCATGACACTGGGCCATATCCGTGACGGCAGCCTCAGGGAGGAATACCAAGAAGACTGCGCGTGGCATGGCGCCCTGATGGCCGAGATCGGACGGGAGTCTCAGCATGCAGGGTGGCCAGTCCGAGTCCGAGAGCGAACTCGACAACCGTCCATACGAGCCATTCTCCACCGTCAAGCACATCGCGTCAACTCCTTATTCACGAGCTAGGTCTCCCCCGAACGAATCCTCCCCTGCAAGCGTCTGGAATAGTTTGTCTACGAGCACGCGCAATGACCGTGTCTGGGAATCAGGCTTCAGACCAGCCTGTTTCCATCCGACTCCCCATCTCCATCGCCACCGCCAGTCGCTGCAGGAGCTAGCAATCTGCTACTCTATCAAGGACAGATCAGAGTACCGAGGCGACGACGCCGAATTCGCAGGGTCCTTTGCGGATTTCCCTGTCTTGAAAAGCCTCAGGCTCTGCGCGAACATGCTTGTTTGAAAGATGGATTGCCGACTAGCAGTCTTCTGCATATGCTGCCGCCGGCTCTGGGCACCTCGTTATTGAGGGGTTCCTGGATTGCGAGAGCTAGGAGGGTATGACTGAGCAGATCAAAGACCTGATTCGGGCTGCTGGTGTGGATGGCCCTTTCCCGAAGCTGAAGACTTTGGAGGTCAGAGGCGTTAATTAACAAGAGGGGCATCCTGCAGAAGCATAACTATGGCTTTCCAAGGGAGTTGCCCGTGGAGGAGGGTGCTGACAATGACTCGATTGGAAGAGGATTACTTCTAAGGGCCCTAACCACCTTACAAAACTTGATTGAAACTTTTTTTCAGAAATCTTCACGGCCCCGGCTAACGGCCCTGGAGATTAGGGTCTGGAGTTGTCCAGTGATTCGAGGACGAGGGTATGGTTGAGAAAGCATTGTCAGCTTCGGAAGGATGATCCCAATGATCGGAGGGTAAGATAACTCTTTGCAGCAAGGTTGAGCCAGTGAAGTCGAACCAGTTCGTTGTAGAGTTCTTCTAGACAGCCAATAGTCTACCTTGGGAGTATCCAGGTGTGACAGCGTGCCAGGGAGCTCCCTGTAAGACCGGTGGCGAAGGCCCATCACGGAGTATAAATTCTCAGCCTGTCCCCATACAAAGGATACGTAATGATTCACCTTGTTCCATTGAGCCCGCATCAGCTCCAACACATGCAATCCCTCCCCTCCGAAACCCCGGCGACGCTGCCGGCAGACCCGATCCTGGTCAAGCTACTCCAGGCATCCCGGACAACTACTGAGCCCATCATCTTCGATGACTATGGCTACACGAAGTCCTATCCGCAGCTTTTGTTTGATGTTGTTCGTACTTGGGAATCTCTGAAACAAGCTCTTCACCCTTCAGCCCTAGATGCCCGCGGCCTTGTGCGGCAAGAGCGCCCTTATATTGCTGCTATAACACGCGGAGGATACGAATTCATCGTTGCCTTTTTCGCTATTCGAGCCCTTGGTGGCGCCTGTATTCCGCTTGGTAGGTAGAATGCTGGCTACAGAACCTCACTGACGCGCTGTATGAAAGCCCCTGGTATCCTCCCCGTGGAAGCCCAGCACTACGTGTCAATCGCAGAGTCTCCCGCCCTCCTCACCGGAGAATCCAACATCCAGCACGCCACTGTCGGAGCGTAGTATACTGCTCGCCCCACTATAGCCCTCGCCTATTAGCTTAGTTAGCCACACTAAGTATAGCTTTACTATTATAGCCTAGCTAAATATAATTTTTAAGCTTTTATTTTTAAAAGGTTATATGCCCTAGGTAGCTTTTTTTATTAAAATATTATATTTACTTATATATAATTACTTTTTTTATTACTACCTTTTTTTAAAATTTATTTACTTTAAATATTTATTAAGTTAAAAATATTTTTATATAATATTAGGATTTTTAGCCACTTAATATAAATTTTTTAATTACTTATTTTATATAATTTTTATGCTATTTTTATATATTAAGGCTATATAAAAATTTATTTATAATATAGCTAATATTATTATTATTATTTTTAACCTTTATAAAGTTATTACATGGCTTAATAATTAAAAAAACTATTATTTATAGCGTAAATTCTTTAAAATTATACTTTAATTTAAACTGCCTTATTTTTAGCCTATTATTATTAAAAAAGTTTTTTTTTTATAAGTATTTACTAAAGCAAGCTGTTATTATTATAAAATATATTAATAAAAATAACATAACTTAAAATTAAGTTACTAAGCTTATTATTAAAAACTAAATTAATATTTAAACTTTTTAAAATATTAAAATAAAAGTAAAGTAAGGGCGCTAAATATAATATAATTTTTTTTATTATTATTTTTATAATTAATACTTTATATATAATATATAAATTAAATTTTTAGCCTTTAAAGCGCTGCCCAAGCCTTTTACTACCTATAAAAGTTATATAACTTATTTAGTACTAGTTTTTTTTTAAAAAGCTAGTAAACACTTAATATAATAAAATATATTAATTAGTAATTAAAATAATTTCTTATAAAATTTAGGAACGCTATTACTAAGCTAGTAATTATTTAAACCCTTAATTAATAGGCTATATAATATTTTTTTATTATAGTAATTTTTAGCTTATATAATATATAGCCCTTTATTACTTAGCTATATATAATATTTTATTAAAGTATTAATAATATTTATTTACTATTCCTATAGTTTAAACTTAATTAAATATAAATATTTAAAATTACTTAATATATTACTAACGCCACCGGCCGCTTTGGTTATAATAGCTTTATTTTTATTAAAAATTATAATATTATATAGTATATATATTATTAATTATATAGTAATTATTTTTTTTTTACCTGTGTTAGAAATCCAGTAAACACCTAATTATAAAATAAAGGTAATAACTTTAAAAGTGCTAGTACTAGCGCCTATTAAGGCTACAATAATAAATTTAAATATTATAAAAAAAAAAAAGGTAAAGAAGGCCGCGGTATCTTTGCCTTTATAAATATTATATAGGTAAAAAATACCGCTGCTAGTACTTTATAATAATTAGCTTAGGAATTAACTTAAGGTCCCCTGTTAGCACCTTTACCTAATATTTTATAGGCTTTTTTAGGCATTAATATAATTAATATTAACTTTAACTTTATATACGCGAACTCCGCGTTTATATAATTATTAAATTTTAGTATAAATAAGCTAGATTTTTATATTAAATTAACTTATATAAATATTAAACTAGCTACTAATAGTAATTAAATACTTAACTTTAGCACCTTTTATTATATAATATACTTTAAGCATAACTTTATATTATTTAAATATATTAAAGTTTTAGTTAAAATAACTAATAATAGCAAGTTTTTTATTAAAGGCTATAATAATATTATATTAAGTGTTATTAATAAGTTTAGTACGCAATAAATTAAAAGTTTTTTATTAAAAAATATTTAGTACGCGCCTAGCTTAGCTTATAATTTATTATTAATTAAATAGCTTATAAATAATAATATTTATATAATATTTAATATTAATATTACTATTAAACTTACATAGTGTAAATCCTTAGTTATATATGCCACCTTACTTAAATCCTATTATTATTTTTATTTAAATATTAATACTTTTCTTAAGGTAATTACCGCGCTTATAAATATTTTTATACTTAGTTAAAATATAATTTTACCCAAGGGTTTAATAATAGCCAGGGTAAAAATTTTTAATAAGGTAATTTTTATATATTTAGCTTACTAACGGGCTGCCCACGTATTTAAAAAAAAAATTAAAATTTTTTTTTAATATATTATTAGCCTTAAATTATATAAGGGCTTGCTAGTTAAATAGTGCAAGTTATATATTATTAATAAAAAAATAATATTTTTTTTAGTAAAGTAAAATTTAACCAGGAATTTTGGCTGCTAGCTAAATAATATTATATATATAAATATTTATAGGCCTATATTAATACGCGGGTAAATAAGCACCTTATACTTTATTATATTTATTAATAAGGCCTCCTGGTTTTGCTAGGTATTTATTATAAAAAAAAAAAAAAACTTTTTAAAAAATTTTTTTAACTTTGTAACTAGCTGCAAATATAACTAAAGTTAAAAATAAAGTATATTTACTATAATAATATTTTAAAATATTAACTACTTAAGTTATATTATAAAAACTATAGTATTATTTTTAATTTAATACTAAAATATTGCTTAGCACTAAATTTAATTATTAAAATAAAAAATTATTATATTATTAAACTAGTTATATTTATTATAACGGAAAACTAACTTTTAAAGTTTTTTTAAAATTACCTAGTTCTTACTATTATTTATATTTATAATTATTTTTATTATAAAACTATTAATAAAACACCCTATAAAGCACTTAATAAAATATAACCTAATATTTTTTACTAGCGCGTGCTAAAATATAAATACTTTTACCTTATTTTTAAAAAAATATATAAAATAAAAATTAACCCTTACATGGCCAAGGGCTGCTTTATTAAATATTTTAAAAGTTTATATAAAGTTTATAACTTAAAATTAAAGCAAGTTATTACTACCTATAATATTATTTTTAAAAAGTTAAGTACTTTTTTCCTACTACTTATTAATAAATATAATTTTAATATTTTACGCCTTATTACTAGTAAAGTAAATAAAAAAAAGTTATATTTTTAAAAGCAAAAATATACGCCCCCAGGCTTTAAAACTTTATTAAATATTTATAAAAACTTTTTTATTTTTTATAACCTTATTTCTTAACCTTTTAAAGCAAATTTAAAATAAAAAAAACTATTTTAAAAAAACCTTTTTAATAATACTACTTATAACCCGGAGTGGCTTTAAAAATACTAATTAATTAGTATTTTTTTTAATACTTATACTAAACTTCTTAGTTTAGGGGTTATATAATATAAAGCCTTAATATTATTTTACTTTAAACCCCCCCTTTTTTTTTTAAAAAAAAATTTAAATATAATTAATAAAATTTATAATAGCCTAGTAAAGCGCACCCGTGCCTTAAGGGCTAATATTTAATATTTTTTACTTTTAAAAAGTAAGATATATTACTTAAATTATTTAAAAAAGCTAAGTTAAATTATAAAAAAGCACCTTAAATTAATAAGTATAAATAAACTTTTTTTTATATATAATCCTAACCTTTTTTTAAATTATCTTGCGCGGTTTCTCGTGAATTATAAGCTTGCCCTTAATAACTTTATTAATAATATTATTCTTGCGGTAAACTTTAGCAAGCTAAATAAATAAAACTTTATTTTTAAAACCTTAAATAATATTAGTTATAAGCTAAAAATATATATAAATATAGTTTTTTATTTAAAGGTAAATAAATAATATATAGCTATTTATAAAAAATTAAATAATTATTTTTTTAATAACACGTGGTGTGTTATTAATTATTAAAAAAAAATATAACTTCTTAACCTTAAATAAATATTTAAAATTAAGTATAACAGCACTTATAAAGCTTACTTAATTATTAAAGGTTTTTACTAAATTACTAGCTATAATTATAAGATTTATAAGGTATATATAGCTATTATTAAATTAATATTTTTTAAACTTTTTATTATACTAGCTACCTGCTATAGCTAGGTATTATACTTTTTTAATATTATTACTACTTTTTTATATGTAAATTTTCTTAAGAAAATCTTTATTAAGCTGCCTAAGGGTAGTAAGATTGCTAGTAAATATAATTTACTTTTAAAAATCTTATATAGCCTAAAATAATTACTAAAAAAGTGGTATAAAATACTTACTAGCCTTTTTACCTTGCTTAAATTTACTAAAACATATATAAATTATTTAGTTTTTACTTATAGCTAAGTATTTATTTTTTTTTATATAAATAATATTATGCTTTTTTTTTTATTTATAAATAATATTATAAAGGTTATTAAGGCGCTTAAAGGTGTTTTTAAGATTATTAATAATAAAGTACTTACTTGCTTTATTAATATTAATATTTATTATATAAATAATAATATTTATTTTTTTTAAAAATACTATATTAAAAATATTTTAAAGTAATTTAGCCTTAAAAACTATAAAAATTTTATAATTTTATATAATTTTAAAATTATATTATAAAAGTTTAATAGCAAGGCCTTAATAAAAAAGATTTTTTTATATTAAAAATAAATTAATACTTTTATTTAGATTTTTATTAATACATGCCTAAATATTTTTTTTATTATTATACTTTTATTTTATTATATAATAAATTTTTAAAAAAATTATATTATAGCCCTAACACGCGTTTTTTACTACCTTAAAATATTAAAAAACCTTACTATTTTTTATTAGTATAAAGGTAAAGGCCTTATTAAATATTATAATATTAATTAGGCCAGCGCTCACGCTAATAATTATATTTTTATTTTTAAATATATTTTTAAAATAGCTAATAGGCTAATTAGCTAGTTTTTTAAAAAATAGTTTATTATAGCCCTTTTATTAATAAAATTAAAATATATTTTTTAGGTAGTTATAACTTAAAAACTATTATAGCTTTAATTTTTTTTTATTAAACTTAATATCTCGCGCCTTGCTTTAATATAAATACTTTTTATTAAATTAATACTTATTTATATAAATAATTAAGGCGCGATTATCTTATTAAAAAA